CTTTATTTGAGTTATAATGAATTGTGGAAGAGACTAAAAAAAAATGTATCCCCAATGATTGCATAAATATCAAAATTATCCCAAAGACAAATCGCATTTTTGGAACTTTTTTCTTTTTTTCGATCAAACATTATACTGTGAGTTATAATAAGTCGAGTAAATTAATAGTTACGAGTTAAGTAAGCCTCGCCTAAGAATAGTGTGCCATTCAATGCTTAGCAGGATGGAATGAATGACTGCACTACTTTGCCATAAACATATATATAGTTCACAAGCTTTTACTTCAATCTCGAAATAGACATTTCACTAAAAGGCAATTTGACGGACAGACGATCGCAAAACGTTTGCGATATGTTTTGTTTTTTTCGTTCTTTCTTATCGATCAGATTAGTTCAGCCACTGCAGCACGTATGTATTTTAATGAATTTCGCATGAAATGTTAAGATAATAATGCGGAAATTAACGCCAAATCATACTAATTTTATCTATGCGATAGAAATATTACAATGTTTAAAGCGTTTAATTGCAGATATTTATTAGATTACCAAAAATGTGCACGCAATCGTTTATGTACATTATGTATGTATGTATATATGTATATATGTATGTATGTATGTATGTTATGCATTCACAAACATGTATATGCGCAGTACGTGTTCATTTTATCAATATCAATAATAAACTGATTAAATTTATACAGACAATTTCATGCTTATGCACACACATACATACATTGCTTGTTTTAGTAGTTTATGTTTAGTTTAAACTTGAAAACTTTTGAAACGTTTAGTTAAATGTATGCATTGAAATTCTGATAAAATTTATTTACAAGTAAATAAACAGTAATATTACTTAAATACATATATGTTTAGCTGTCTAAAAAATAATGAGCGCCAACATTAAAAACATTATTTTTATATCGCTTTTATTACTTCGCGGCTTTTATACATGTATATGAAATAGAAGCGTACAAATGTATGTTGGTTTTCCTCTCTAAATTCGCAATATTTTTTAGACAAAATTAAACGAGCGATAGCACATTAGATAGGAAAAAATTGAATATTATTCTATCTGAGTTAAAAACATTGCTCTCGCACGTACGTACATACACATGCTTATTGTGCAAATATAATAAATATTTATTTTGCATATGATTTTGATAAACCGTGACAACAATAACAACAATAAAAACAATAGCGACCAAAATAATAAAAGTTTATATAATCATATGCAAACCTAAGAGAAACTAATAGCTTACGACAAACAAATAAACGAACTAAAAATAACTAAAACCCAACCACCAAGTTAACCAACCAACTGTTATTATGATTATTTTAATGCTGATGCTCTTAGTAGTCTGTTTATATTGACATGGATGCAAGTTTACATACCTTCCAAACAAAAAAAAAAAAAAAAAAAAACAGAAAAAAAAGGTATAATAATTATAGTTTAGTTTTCATGTTAACATAATGTGTGTGTGGCGGCTGTGTGTGAAAATTAATATTTTGTCATTAAAACGAAGAGAAGTAACCATAAAGAGGCTTTTTTCAGATATAAAAAGTAAACGTAAACATAAACACGCAAACATGCAATATTTTGTTTATTATGTTTATGCATAATTTGAAGTTAATTTAAATAAATTTTTTTTTTTTTTTTCTTTCATCTTCTTATCTATTGTTAGGTTTACACATACAAAGTACAGAGATCCTCTCTTTTCACCTTGTGAGGTTGTTGTCTAACTAAAGTTCATGCTCATGTTGATTTTGTTTGTTTCTTTGTTGATTGTTGTGTGGATTTTGTTAGCCAAACAACTACCAAAAACAAATCTAACAACAACTTGAAAATAAATAAAGTCTAGATATATGTAATGTAGAAGAAGCATAAGCATTTACGTCATTTCTACGACCAAAGGATGAATCATTTTTCCATTATTCTGTTTGTAACATCTGCAACTAATGTCAAGCTTCTGAACAGATATAATTGTCCGTCTTTTTCCAAGTCTCGGCAAGTGGAACCGTCCAATGGCCATCAATTGAGAATTGGAATTTACCACACGTGGTTCTAGTATAGTCCAATAGATCTTGAATTTTGGAAGTACAAGCCTTATATACCTTCATCCCACGAGCCAATATATTTCAGTTCAAAAACTAAACTAAACTGACATGTGACAAAGTTGCCCCTGATTCTTGTCGCATAAATGTAAACATATTCTACAGAACTAGTTTCAAAAGGCCGCCGTCTATACGCTTAAAATCTTTACGATTAGTCACCTTTTGAATAGAGACGACTCGCTAAGATTTACGCAGACCTGCACAAAAAAAAAAGGAAATACGATCTCGACAATCGTAACGTTTTTTTAAAATTTGCTATCACGCGTTTCTTTGCGATCTTTCTTAACCTCTTCTCTGTTTCTTTGTGGGACATTTTCTCATTCCTTCTCTGTCTATTTTTGTTTCTCGTTTTTTTTTCCCCCTGTGTCTATCTTCCGGTCTTTCAATGGGTTTTCTCTCTCTTTGTGGGTCGTTGGGCATAGCGGGCTTAAGCCTTTACGATAGGACGCGACTCACTTTTAGTGAGTTAGTATCTGCGGATAGCCGTTTTCTTGAATCTCTTTCTCCTTGAAAACAATTTTTTTGTTTAAGACTTAAACAACGTTTATCTTCAAAACAGTTTCCTCCCACAGATCTGCCATGGATCAAAATTGGCGAACCATATTGCTTTGCTGTTACAAAAGATAATCAATAATGAGCTTACATAAAGCTCTCCCAAGGCTAATAGGTTAGTAAAGAGTTGTCACAATATTATAAAATTAAAAATCAATCCCTTGAGTCATTTGCGTCGAAAAAATATCATTCTCTAGATAACGGGCCTTTTTTAAAGTCTAGGTTATATCATTCGTATAAATAAAAGAAACTACACCGAACCGTATATCGTATAAAACATTTGTGAATTTTCGGAACACTTTAAACTTTAATTAGTCAATTAGCCGAAGTTTGCTTAAAGAATTGGTAAAATAATTATTTCGTACTAATTTATGAGAATTTTTCTAAAATAAATTTCATAAATAAAATTAATTAATGTTAAATGCGAACGAAAAACAAGTTTTATAAGGAAAAATAAATTTAACCTCATGGCACTTTAGTCTGAACTTTAAACTAAATAAAGCACTTTGCTCTTCTAATCCAATTATATATATGGAATAAATAATTTTTGGTATACATCTTTTTTTTTTTATTCATCATAAACAAACTATGTGATGCTTGGAACAATAGCACATAAATAACTTACAAGAGGCTCCGAATAATTCTAAACAATGGATTTCCAACATAACTATAAGTATGATATATAGCAATAAAGCATTATTTTTTTTTTTTTTTTTATTTTTTTGTTTTTTTTTTTTTTTTTTTTTTTTTTTATTTTTTTTTAATTTTTTTTTTTTTTTTTTCTTTTAAAAAAATTATTTTTATTTATTTTGCTTATCATTCTTGAAATTAATCTTGAAAAAGGCGTGTTGCTTATTGTTATAATAATGATGTGCAAAAGCCACTTGTAGGCATAAAATGAAAAAAGAGAAGGAAAACGAAAAAGAAAACTTCTCCATATCGTGTAGTGTAGTGTAGTGTAGTGTAGTGTAGTGTATACCACTTTAAATTCATTCAACTTAAAGTGCATTATGCATAATTTATGAATTGTTAAGTTTTTGTTTTTCTTTAAATCATTTTTCAAGTGTTGCTTTTAAGTGTTATTCAAGTGATCTAATTTCTTTCTTTTGAAAAAGATTTTTATATGGAGGCAAAAAAACTTTTACAAGAACGCCTGCCTAATGAATCTCTATAGTAAAAATTTTGAAGTGTTTACTTCAATTTTATCTCCAGACACTCCATAGGATTAACAAATTTAAAACAAATTTATTAAATATGGAAAGAATTACATACATATATATATATATGATAAGTATGCTTGTAAAGATTATTAAAAGCTCTGCTTTATGGATGAATGATCTTTGATCGATGCGTAGATTGTTAGTTCGTCGAAACGTCTGCAATACGCAGAAGGCAGCTTCAGTAACCCTACAAGTAAGAAGTACATTATTGATCAGTATCATATAATTGAATCAATCTTAGCATTTTCGTGTGCTCTTCTTCTATCGGTCTGTGTAATATTTTTGGTAAAAATTCTGCTCGACGCAAAAATTAAGATATCAAGCTTGCAAGTGGGCGGAAATTCCAGTGAAACCAATCGCCTCTCATTTTAAACCTTTTCTCTCAATTTGATAGATAGAACATAGAACAGATTTCGATCTTAACAAATTTCCAAGATTTTTTCTAATGTTTCTTGTCATACATCATAGTCTGCCTTATTATATAACATTATTTCTATACTGTTTTCCTTTGACTGGAGTTGCTAATGCCTCATGGCTAAATGGTGCTATTATCTAAGATCACTTAACAACCTAATAAGCGACAATCAATCAAGTCAACAGGTTCAATATTTCAATCTTTCCGGTTTTCTTAAATTGCATACTCTGGTCGACACTAGTGCATTACTGCCTTTCTTATGAAATTATGGCGGATATGGCAGCAACTTTTGCATTTCTAAACTGTTCCTTGGACTCTTTAGACTTAAATGCAATTAAATTATTTATTTATTTTTTTTTGGTTTAGATCCGCAAACAATGAAAAGATTTATTTAGTTATTTTCCAAAATTAAAAGTTTTAGCCTAAATACGAAATAATACTACTTTCATCAATTAAAAAAACCATTCAAATCTCCTTTAGATTTTTTAAATCCAAGAAAGACTTGCAAGTTTTACGCAAAAAAAAAAAAAGAAAAAAAGAGACATTTGTCAGCAACAATTAATGGTTTCAAATGCCTTAAAATATATATATATATATATATATATATATAAATAAATTCTTGATTAAATAAATTTTGCTTTTGCGCTTCAATTAAATTTAAAGCGAAAAAAAAAAAAAATAATTGTAATTAATTAATTTCAGGTGACGCCAGCAACGCAAGCATAGGTAGTGGCGAAGGGACGGGCGAGGAGGATGAAGATGCGAATGGCAAAAAGAACCAAAAGAAACGTGGCATTTTCCCAAAAGTAGCAACCAATATATTAAGAGCGTGGCTGTTTCAGCATTTAACGGTAAGTCTATCAAAATCATACCAAATTCACCATTTTGTGTAAGCATTGAAAGACCATAAATACACTGCCAAACTAGAGGCGTATTTTACCCCCAAGACATCAGCAATAACGTTGATAAGAAGCAAAGCGAATCAAGAACAGAAAAAAAAAAAACAAAAAAACAAAAAAAAAATGATATAAAAAAAGAGGAAAAAGCATTGCAAAGAGTATAAGCAAGACAGCCATATTAAATGTCGATAATTAACCGTTTAGTAGCCTATAATCAACACAATATAAAGTAGACAGACCTACAGACAGCCGTACCTATCAAACACCATGTGCATGCATGACGAACGCTAAAGCTAAAACAGCCATTGAAATAAATGTAATAATACGTTAATGTAGCAAAATGGTAAAAAAAAAAACAAAAGAAAACTGAATAAGTGCAGCGTTTATATCTATCTACTCACACATACTACGGTATATAAGCAAATACATACATATATACATTAGTACTTAACTTAAAAGCGACCTAAAAAATTCAAAACTTAAAATTTCATTTATATGTGTATAAGTATATGTATATGGATATGTATATGTATATATATATATATATATATATATATATAATATGTTGTGCATATATATATATAAAAGATCGACATTCTGAAAATGAAGCACTTTGTAAATTACTTTATATGATACTTGCGCCACATTGGTGTGTTTGCGTGTGCATTTGTGTGTGTGCTAACCAATAATAACAAAACCAACAACAAGAACCGCTATGAAAAAAAAAAAAAGAAAGACTTAACATCATAACAGACAGCAACAATAACGCAAAAAGGAGGAGGTAGCAACTTTATATATACCATGCAAACGGTGCACACTTATTTGGATACATATAACTGGGCATGTATCGCTGCAGTTATCTATATGTTTAGCATGACTGAATGATAGACAGTTAAACATTGGAAAAGACAGGCGAGACTGAAAGACAAAACAGACAGACGGACATGTATACTCCATATAGACAATGTGCAATGGCAGTAAGCATGTCGCGTTTAGACCAGACACACGACTGCATTGAAAAGAAGCTTGCAACGAATATGTGAGTAAAGTTCATAATTAAATAAGAGCAACAAAAAACAATAATAAAACAACAACCGTGCTAATGAATAAAAAGGGCGAATATTACAACCGTAAACGACAACACGAAGAAGAAGAAGAAGAAGAAGAAGAAGAAAAACACAATAATAATAATAAGAATAATAATAGCAATAATAACGACAGTAACAATAAAAAGTAAATAAAAAAACATATATAAGCCAAACTTAAAATTATGGCCGTAACATATGATGGGAAGGTATTGCAGTAAGAACTAAATTAACTTGAAATTGAAAAAGAAAGTCAAAGAAAGAAATATTCGTTGAAGTAAAAACATTTTATAAATTAATTGGAACTTTTCGTACGCTATCTAATGTTGCTTTCACCTAACTAACTTCCGTTTACTGCACATTACGCAATTCCCTAATGCGTTTGTTTCGTATCAAATTTATTCTTAAAAAATGTGAAACTTTATAACTATAACCTAAAGACCTCATAAAGTAAGATTTTATTCAATTCCTCGACATTTTGATTGAATGTGTTTTCCGTCTTATCGGGTACATTACATTTTGATCAGATCTTTTCGATTTTGAACGACTTCTAATGCCGCTGCCTATCTCTTCATTAATTCCGCTGCAAGCTCTAAAAGGCTTATCTAAATTCAAGTTGTTAACATCATCCAAGCAAGCAATGTGATAATTTAACATGTTTCCATACACATTGCAAGTTTTATATTGAACGAACGTTCGAACGAAGGCCAAGAGAAAGATCATCGAGAACTCATAAGCATTAGTTGCGAATAACTATCCTCTGTCCCTTGGTTTATACGTCTTAAACCAATTGTTTAATAGTTTAGCTCAGTTTTACTCTCACACAGAATAACTCTTCTCCGTCCCTCGGTATGATTGGCTTAAACTAATTTTTTAATTGTTTAGCTCAGCTTTGACATAAATTTAAATTTCAAATGATATCAAGAAATACATACATACTTACATATTGACAAGCATTCATGTCCAAAGAAGAGTATCCTTAAGCTCACTGATTGTTACAATTTCATAAAAAACATTTTAAAAAAATTTTTTGAAAAATTTTAAATTTTAAAATTTAAAAATTATGTTGCTTCCATAGTGTTTTATCTATCTGTCTATTTATCTATCTGGAAAGAAATTAACGTCAAAATTGTGCGAATATTTTCCTTACATTTGTAGAGATAGGGTAGAAACGTGTGCTTTCGTTAAAGCACCGGGAAATCTTTCTAATTTCCCTCGTATCAAGTTAACATCGGAACAACATCAGTCGAATCGGCTTATATAAACGTTCGCTATGAAATATCAAATATTTTGAAATTCGCTAACAATTTCTTAGCAGGGATGCTATTGGATTGTCAACGATTAAATTTATAGAAATCCATCTTTTCCACTTTACCGATTTAAGCTAAATGATTTAATATTATTTGTTTGTTGCTAAGTTCAAACTTTAGTGGCAACTCATAGTCACTCTGCGATGGGTCAAACTCAAAAGTGATTTTCAGTTCATAACTATGATGGTCTTTGGTTCTAGGTGACCGCATTGCTCACTTGATAAGTCAAAATTATCTGTCTGTTGCGTAATATTTACGTGTTGTATAGTCCACGTACCACTTAAGGACGTCGTAGTCCATAATAGTGCGAATTTCCAATCGTTTCATTTAAACAAAAGCAAACAAGCGAAATCTGTAACTGTGCAACGGAAAAAAAAAGACAAAACATAATTTAACTGCAAATTATTAAGTCAATGCCAAGTAATAAGCTTTGACAATATTATCAACCACAAATTCCATCCTTGCCAAAGTAATTTATAAAGATCTGTAGGGTAAGGTGCATTAAAAGCTCATGTTTATGTTATGCTTAGGCTACCTTCTCCTGCAAGAGCAACAAAACATTGTTCGTGGCTTTTTATGATCAAGCTCGTAAGTTCACAAATTAACTAAACATGTTCGTCGCGTTCACTCGCGTTTGATTTCAATTGAGAAATTAGAAAATTGAAAAGTAAAACCTTAGGGTTCACAGAGTAATTATAGCTTGGATCGGTGCACGTTTAAGGCATTACGTTACGGCGAAACATCATACTTGGCATGTGGCGGCAGTTATACCTTGGAGCTGACCTTATCTCGAACACTGTGTGACGAAAAGTTCCAAGTTGCCTTGGAAGTTTTGTTTTGAATCAGAATTTGTCATCTTCTAAAGGTCAAGTGTTCTCCTCTTTTAAATCGCATACGAGGAGGACAAGCAAGTGACAAGTGTGATAAGAATTCGTATCGAATTCGAATTCTTGCTTTTGAAAATTTTTCGCTGTGTTTTCGTTTCACGGAATGTAATCAATTAAGTTTTCTAAGCAAACAAATGAAAACAAAATTCATTCAGTTGAAGAAGTTTTTATTACTAATATATATATACATACATATATACATATATATATATAAACAATAATGGCCGACATCTTAAGGCCGCCTATATTGCACAATAACAACAACATTAACAATAACAAACTCAAACGAAAGCAGAGCCATTTCATATCTTAACATAAAACATGCTCGCTATTTAACACCATTATTGCAAGTTGTGTTGCGCTGCAATAAGCAAACAACAGCGAAAAAAAAAATAAGAAGAAAAATACATATATATAATCAAAACAAAAATACATAACGACGACAACAACAACATGAATTTTGTACAAATATGTCTACAAAACAATTTGCGCGCATGGCGACGTCAACAAACATTTTGTAGGCGACATCCAAGTGCATATGCACACACATATAATACATATACATACACATGCACATACACATCCACATAGACATCAAGAGACAAACGTGTACACATTGTAGTTCATATACATGGTACACGTTTTAATTAATGGCAGACAACACGTTCTAGCAAATGTTAAACTTGCCATGACAACCTTATAAACACAAAGTTAACATAGCATAAACAATCAAACATACATAACTAACTGTACATGTACATGTATGTATGTAGTACACATGAGCACATAATAAAGTATCTAAAAAATATTGAGCCTTATAGCAGATATAGCACAAATTTGAAAAGGTATTTAGTTATTTAATTAGTTTTAAATATTCTCATATTAATGAAAGCTCAATATTATTTAGACAATATAATCATATATTTTATATGGAAATAAAAGTTAAATGAAATTTCGTTTCATTGCAAATATCTTTATAGATATGCATATATATATATATAATGAAGCAATTGACTTTACTTAAAACGCATTTATACACACACACACACACACACACACACAAGCGTTTATATATAGATAGTACATGTTTTTATTATCTTAACTCTACCCTTTAGCTTAGATAGAACCGATGATACAGTGCTACAAACATTGGCTTTTCAAATATAATCAGGCATGCATGAAAATATGAAGAGCATGAAGAAAAACCTGAAGAGGAACTCATTAATGTACATGTTGTTTACGGGCGTATGTTGCGTATGTGCGTATGTTTATGCATGTATGGTTTAATATAAAAAAGAAGAAATTGTTTTATTTTTTTTTTGTGGTTCTTTCTGCACAATCTGCATCAACGCCATAGTCTAACATTTCAAATGTTCGTCCATCATTTTCTTCGTCTTTTCATCTGTCTGTTTGTCTGTCGCTCCGTTCTTTCTTGTCTGCGCAATACTGTACGATGCACTGTGTGTTTGCTGTACTTGCTTAAGTTTTTATTTGCTTTTATTTCATTTTAAATACAATACATATGCAAAAGCTTACTTTTCTAAAATAGGTATGTGCATGCGTATGTATGCATGCATGCATGCATGCATTTAAGCGTGTGAGTTTTAAAGGCGTGACAGTAATTAATTATTGTGTTGTATGGTAAATTAATAAATGAAATGGACTTTGTC